TGCCTGGCTTCTGTTTCACGTGGCTCTTCATCAAGACATTCAAAAGGAACTAACAGATGAGATTACGGACTCAACTTCGCGAGTAAGTACATAACAATCTTAGTACTGTTAAACTCCCGGATGCCTGACTGCTGGGTTTTGTTCTTTTTTCATTCTCTACTAACATTCTACTACTTATAATTTTAACGTGATACTTCAGCCGATTTGGCTAAAATCCTGCCTAATAGAATGTCAGCCAATCTCATTCCTACAGGTAGAATATAACACATATAGCAAAATTCACATGCGTCTGACTTTTATGTCCATCCACGGGCATCTTCAGTTGATAACTTGATAAATAATCTTCTAAAACATACGGACTTCTAAATTGCAGAGATCAGAAAAACTGTCCGTTTTCCGCATGAAGATGATTTCCTTAAAAGAGATGTTTTATTCAGAGTTTCATCACATCAAACAGAGCTAAACATCATCAAAGCCAGTTTGAGAAACTGATTCAATTATTCCCGTGCCGGATGAAACTACTCTAGTTATCTTGTCTTATACATGTCACTTTCCTCTAGCTTTCAGGACCACTGAGTTTAGACTTTCTCAGCAGAATGGATTTCTTGGGTAAAGTAGTGAAGGAATCGGCAAGAAAACGGCCCGTGATGGCTATTAGCACCCCGGAATATGTAACTTGTCCAATGGCGATCGGAGATTTTCACAGTCCCCCAGGGGTAAGAGCTTTACCGGGTTTTATAGTAACGTAGAGTTGTTTTTTTTGTAGAGCCAAGATACTAAATTAGAGCTAAGAGATGTGAAATTAAACTGTAGAACAGTCAAAGCTTAGCGTAAGGTCTTTCTTTATATCAAATGGAATAAACAGTGATTCAATTCATATATCCGGGTACATCAGTACTTTCACGGAAACAGACATTGATTTTGCTGGTCCGGTTTCTTTTCCTAGCTCTGGTAGCATTGCTCACTGATGTTCTCATGGTTTGGGGAATACGTCATGGATGAATTTCCGGTTCCAGTTGCAAAAACCATCCGTTGTTAAATGCAGAAACGTAGTGTATTTTCTTAAACCCTTTCAGTCGTAAGATCAAAATCTGTCTTTTCGTCAATGTCGTTTATCATCGTCCCTCTTTGAAACAAACGTCTCTTGCCCTCATCTTCAGTCCGTTAACGTTTCTATATAACAGGAGTTCCTTAAATTTGTGTTCCGTGCAGTGAGACAAATAAGGCCTTGTTTTTTCGTAAGGCTAAATTAGGCTAACAAGTTCGTTTCTTTTTTCAGGTTGAAGTATCCATTGACAACAGTGCAGTAAACAGCAACACGGGAGTCTGGGGCGATACCGAAACTTTCAATCCCCGACGAAAAACCGCTGATTGGCTGAAAATCCGCTGCCTTGGAGCATGCTCAAGCGCTCGCCGCTGACAACTTGCGGCTGCAAACGAGTTTCGAAAATGTCTGAACATTTTACAAGCGGGAGCATCGAACAGCAAGAAATATTGTGGATTTTTACCCAGTTAGAACTTCT